CAGAGCTTTGCCACCAGGTTTCCTGGAGTTATTTGTGGGGCCGGATTAATCCATCCCTGGGCTCTAGGCAAAAGTCCTTCATGTCTTCCCCCCTGCACTAGGGATCCCCTCTGCCCCTCTCCCGGCTGGCTCCCCGCTGTTGACACTGACAGCAGCTCATTGTCGCACACCTGCATATCAGCGGTGAAGCTCTAGCTAATCTGGTTCAGAGGCTGGTGCTCTGCCCACTCAGCTTTGGCCCCATTAACCCCCCCACCCCAAATAGGACAGGGAGCATGGCATGGGGGACAAAATGGAGTGAGCTGTGTTGTGACCTGGTGCATGGGAGGTCACATTGCCACTCGCTCAATTTTGGCCTCATGCAAACCCCCTCCAAAACGGGGTGCAGGCCTTTGGCCCTAGGCATATACTTAGGTTGCCTATGCCTTAATTCAGCCCTAACTGCACTTGATCTGTCCCAGGCTGGGGGCCTGCAGGGGAGTTATTCAGTCACTGTTATGTCCAGAGGGGTCTGGTCCCTGTTCAAAGAAAGAAGGGTGCGCTCGTATAGTGGATGCTTTGTCCCAGAAAGGGGTACCTGTTCTTCCCCAGCTCACTGGCTAAAGTGATCCCCACTCAGTTTGGCTTTGAAGGGGGAAGAGGTGTGACACAGTGGAAATTTTTTGTAATATTTTTGTATGAAAAGTGTCCGTGCCTCAGTTTCCCCTATACTTGTTAACTAGGTGTCCGGAAAAGGTTGTTTACTCTCTGCAGAGATCCAGCTGTGACTGATGCCTAGATGTCTGCACTCCATGTCCATGGAGAGTCTGAGAACACAATGGCCACTTGAATTGCCCAGACATTTGGTACCTAGCACCTAACAACCATGGATGGCCCTCCTCCCCTCCGCAGTAAGCCAGCCCTGTTTGACCAGCTGGAGAACAAAGGGCTGAGGAGGAGGACAAGGAACAAGGTCTGCCCAGGGACAAGAACAAAGGACTGAGGAGGGGCCATGTCAGGGGTTGTTAAGTGTGGGCTCTTGGAGGCTTTAGACTTTCTGGAACTGGGACGAAAGAGAGGCTGGAGGACTGTGTGCTCTAGGCTGGCCAAGATGGACCATGCTGTAACTTTCTGATCTCTGTGCTAACCACGGATGCTCTATGTCTTCCAGAAATCTCTATCTATCCCTCCTGCTTTCCCGACACTGGCTGAGAGTCCAGTCCGATGCTGAAGGTGGGGGTGTGTCGCTCCCTTTGGGTGTACAAGTCTCCCTCGGGTGTCCAACTCAGGTGGACTTGCTGGGTGGGAAGGGAGCTGAGGGTTTGGTGAAACTAAGTGGCTTGCGGTCAGGAAAGAGTGAGACCCGCAGAGGGGGGCTGGCACACTGCAGAGGTCCTCGCGGGGCCTGTTCCAGAGCACTGGATTGGTAGATCCATGGCAGGATCTGTGTCTCAGTTTTTCATCCGGGGTCACATGCTGCTGCCTCCTCCCTTGAGATCTGGGAGCCTGAACTGAGCAGCTGCTGCTCCCCCAGCAGGGTCCCTGCTGGGGAGAGAACAACTCTGGCAGGCCAGTGGTGGGGTACCCACTTGTGGGGGTCCAGTCCTCTTTTTCAAGGACTCTGTAAAGACTCCTCCAAAGTGTCACAGGTTCAGCAGGAGAGATTAAGGGACCCCCACATCAGAAGATCCCATGGCCCAGAGGTGAGAGCACTGGGAACCCCCTGTTCAAATCCTTTCTCCCCATCAGGCAGAGGAGGGAATTGAACCTGGGCCTCCCACATCTGGGTGATTACTCTGACCCCTGGGCTACATGCTTAAGGGAGGGATCACACACACACACTCTCTCCTCTGGCTGTTTTGTGCAGCTTGACATCTGCCTAACTCATTCTCACAGGCAGGCACCTAGGCCACCTGACTCCAGCAGAGGGGTTCCCAGCGGTACATTCGCAGGCAGAGAGAGGTGCTGGGAGGCTGCTGAGTGCGCCCAGGGCTGGGATTCACCTCACTTCCAGCTGCCTCCGATGCCAGGAATCTTGCCTGTGCCAGCTGGGTGTTAGCCCCAACCACAGCCAGCCTCTCACCACTGGAGCGCTCTCCCCCGGGCTATACCAGCCCTGCAAGCTAAGAATAGACCCCCTCCAGCCCCTGGAGGATCCCTTTGACCCTGAGAGCATCCCAATGCCAGAAGCCAAGGGGCTCCCTGGTATTGAGCAGTTTTAGCTGGCTTAATCAGCCCAACTCACTGTTGCCATAATGTGGATCTAAAAGGTGCTGTGTCGTATAGCATTGGAAAACTACAAACTCACTGCTCAGTGATATTCTTGCATGAGGTACGTGCATATACATGAGCAGGAATATGTTCTTAAAAACCTGGCTGTCAGGCTTAAGTCATCTTGCCCCAGATAAAGGAATGTGGTTCTTCCGCCTGCCTGAACCTGTCTGCAATGCAAATGGAGCGAGGGCAATGAAATTACATTTACACCAAGGGGAGACAATGTCAACCAAAGTGGAAGATGGCACTTCCCACTCTCAATGGGAGATGGAAGCCACAGCTCCAAGAAACCTTCCTGCCTCCTGAGGCGAGGTCATTGAACTCTGGAAGCTATAACCAGGCCACAAAGCCAGCTTGGCACACATTGCTGGGCAGATCCAAGCAGGCCGAGCTCCTGTACACCTGTGAAAGGTGGAATCTTCCAGCCAAGGGGTCTGAAGGTCCCCAGATACTGAGTCTAGGCGAGAAACCTGCTGAGACACAAGGCTCAGATTCACTGAAGATAAATGTACACACTAGAAAGCACGTTTTGTGTGTAACCTCTCCTGGCTTTTTCACACTTACTGGACATCCCTTAATCCTAGGTTCCCTGGGAATAAATTCAGTTTTAGTTTTACAACAAACCATCTCAGTGCCGTGTGAATCCTCAGCTAACTAACAGGGTGGGGCTGTGCACTGTCTCTTTAAGAGAGCAGCAGACTTACTAAAGTTCTGTGAGTGCTACACTCAGGAGGATCTGACCCAACACAGGTGGTGACAACCCCTCACTGGTCTGGGTTGAACCCCACAGCATCACAATGGCACTAGACCAGTTTCACCTGACTGGGACAAGGGCCTACACTCACTAAAAGTTACATTTTCTACCTGATAAAACAGATCGTCATCCAAAAGGTCAGTCTTTCACAGTGTTTGCTAGGGCCAAGGAGCCAGCCCCCAGTCATCCAGGAAGTATCCCGTTTCTATGACTGGATGCAGAGTGTCTTGTGACACACTGAATCAGTCTTTTGTCTTTCTTCCCAGGCAGGGTGATCCCCTCGCTGTCAGATCCTCCTTGTCACTGTCACAACCTTTCAGTGTTTATAGTTCAGCTTTGATAGTTTTCCATTCATTTTCTGAATAGGCGCAATGGTGGACAGTCGGTCAACTCATTGCATAATGGGCTAGCCAGGAAAAACTCACTCCAATTTAAATGGGCTGTCACCAAAACGAGGGATTCCCTGGTGACTCTCTTCCACTCCAACACCATAAAGGGATAACTTTCAATATAGTTACGTTATTACTTCTCTATCACCTATACATGCATCTTGCAATATTTATGAGTATCAACACATACTGCTATTCTGAAACAACACATTATAAGCTTTCAGGAGAGATCTCACATGCTACCCCTTATGGATAAATACCAGGAAAATATTAAGTGTAGTGAGTTTGTCAGGTGTGGGACAGGAGTTGCTTGTACTGAACAGTGAGCCTTTTCCCCTGGGCCTTTGTGTTACAAAGCCCCGAAACCTGGGCTGCAGGGAGAAGTTTATCTCCATTAGAGGAGCGAGGACTAAGTCGTACCCTCTCCTCAGCATCTCCCCTTGGCTGTCTTAGGCAGCTCCCTGCCTAACACGCTGGCTTTTGTGGATCCCATTCATAGGCCCCTCTCTCTCCCCATGCTTTGTATAGAGAGACTGGGTGACTGAGTCAGGCTTTCTAGATCACGTTGATTGATTTTTCTAGTCTCTTTGTGGATCCAGGCCTTAGTAGCTGCCATCAGCCGGGTCTTTGGTCTCTAGACAATTGCAGACCAGGCTGAAGCAGAAGGGTCTAGTTACCAGATGCCATCCCATGTCCCTTTAGAGGTTTCTGATGTTCACCCAATAAACCAGCCTTCTCCTGAGGGGTACCTAGAACACTCCCTGACTTTTTTTTTTTTTTTTTTAATTCACCAGTTGCAGCAAAATTATTACATTATGCATAGGTGGCAGGAGAACACCCCCTTTGGGGAGGCTAATCCGCCAGCCCCACCCCTTCCGCCAGTGGTGCCCCCAAGGTGGAGCTCCAAGCCCCCCCACTGCTGGAGGAGCCCCAGCCGCCCCAAGCCACCGGCTGGCCTGAGTTCTGAGCTGAGCCACTGGACTGACCCCCGCCCCGGGTTGGCCCAAGCCACCCAGGGCAGCACCAGTCCCTGGCAGCTGGTGGGCCCAAACTCCAGGCCCTCAGTTGGAGCTGAGCCCCACCCCGGCTTCAGGGAAGAGGGGGAGGGAGGCGGGGCCTTCAGGTGGAACATGGGCGGGGCCACACCCTGGATTAGGAGAGGTTTAGCCTGCCCTGGCCTTTGATACCCACCGCCCATGACATCGCATCCAAGAGACAAACACCATTGTGTTGGGTGTACGGCCTCCCTTTGCTCGGCTACAACTAAATGAAAACATACCTAGCTCTCAACAGCACTTTTGATAGCAGCTCGAGAAGCCCTTTACAAAATTTATCATTCCTCTCCACAACTGCTCCACCCAGATTAAAAAACACCCACCTCTCCATGCTGATTAACTCCCCTCCTGCAGGAGGTGGGCGAATGGGAAATGCTGGCCAGAGGGGACTGCCCCTGCAGATGGATTTTCCCCACTGACCCACAGAAGATTCAGAAAACCAACGAGTTGGCAGTTCTAGCATCTGTAGTCTGAGGTGGTGAAGGCTGGGGCTAGTGGCTTCCCAGACGGCCGCTGGGATCCTTTAGTCGAGACAAAGGACACTGGGAATTTGAGAAGCTAATTTCTACTTTATTATTTGAAAGCAAGAAAGAAAATATAACCATCCCCACCCATCCCAAGGTTCGGCACAGCCCAGCCCAGCACCGTTCCCAGCTCCCGTGGGCACCAGGGAGAGAGGAATGAGTTAAAGCTGGTAGAAAAGCACAGACAGTCCACGAGAAATGCTGGGACCCAGTCACAAAAGCAAATGTTCCAGAGCAGGAAACATGGGGAGTTCAGGTTTGAGGGAAGCCATGCGGGGTGCGTGGAGCCCAGAGTGTGTCTATAGTCCACACACAGGAGACTGCGGTAGGTGAGGAGAAGACCAGCAGGGCCAACAGGCTCTCTTTGGGTTGATCAGGCTTTAGGGCTGGTCAGACCTGTTCATTTCCCTGGCTTTCTTCTCCCTTCTGCCCAGCCTCATCCTCTCAGCAAGCAGGAGACCCTGCCCCTTTCCCATCACACCTCTTGGGGTGTCATCTGTAGCCCTTTAGACTTCAGGGACAGCTTTGCCCAGCACTGGTAGGAGAATTCCTGTCTCTCTCTGGCACTGGTGTAGTGAGTTCACAGTTCTCAGCCTCAGCTGTCTGGCTCTCAAGAGCAAACCCAGCAGTTTACCAGCTCTGTTCCCCCCATCTCCCATCCTCTCTCCCTACTGACTGGATCTCACATCACTGCAGGGATCAGGCAGTAAATTCTTTCCCCATTTCAGTCTGCATCTCAGAGTTTAAATCTAGTGCTCACCCTCAGTGTCTGTGGGATAGATATTGATCATTGTCATTGTTCAAACCACGCAAAAATCACATGACAAGGTTAAAATGAAATATACAAAAGACTATTCTGACAAACAATCGTTTGTCTTGTGATTTCCTCAATAAATCTGAGCTACATCCTGTCAAGCTAAACTAATATCAAAGTACGTGACCAAACAGCCTGTAGGAACAGAGAATAACCCACAGTCCAGGGTGTCTATAAAAGACTTTCACATTCATAAGGTGAAATCCCAGAGAATCTTAAGACTTTATATCAGGAAAATAAATTTACCCATTTCCCTCTGAACTGGCTAAGCCTGCTTTATTTCACACCTTATGGTTGTTAGTTACAAAAGTTTTAGCAGAAAGAAAGAAAGAAAGAAAGAAAGAAAGAAAGAAAGAAAGAAAGAAAGCCCAACTTCCCATCTACAAATGACCTGAACTACCCTAGAAAAAGCCTGGAAGGAATTTTTACCAATATATGGAAACAGCAATAAACACAGAAAGCTCAATCTGTGCTTTCTTCTCCAGCCCTCAGAAGTCTGATTTAGGATCAGGGAAATCAAACGGTCATTCCTAAGCACGGAGAGCTAAGAACACTGCGGCAAATGACACTTTGGGAGGTGGAGGGGTAGAATGAGGAGGATAAACTAGAGGTGGGCAAACGTTTTGGCCCAAGGGCCACATCTGGGAATAGAAACTGTACAGCAGGCCTTGAATGCTTACACAATTGGGGTTGGGGTATGGGAGGGGGTGAGGGCTCTGGGTGCGGGCATGGGTTCCAGTGTGGGGCTAGAAATGAGGAATTCAGGGTGTGGGAGGGGCTCCAGGCTAGGGCGGGAGGGTGGGGGGGGGGGTGCGGGCTCCGGCTGGGGGTGCAGGCTCTGGGGTGGGGTTGGCGATGAGGCGTTTGGGGTATAGGAGCATGCTCTGGGCTGGGACAAAGGGGTGATGAAGGCTCTGGCTAGGGGTGCAGGCTCTGGGGTGAAGCTGGGGATGAAAGGTTTGGGGTGCAGGAGGGTGCTCTGAGCTGGGATCGAGGGGTTTGGAGGGCGGGAGGGGGATCAGGGCTGGGACAGGGGATTGGGGAGAGGCTATGGGGCGCAGGCTTCAAGCAGCGCTTACCTCAAGCAGCTCCTGGAAGCAGCGGCATATCCCTTCTCTGGCTCCTATACAGAGACGCGGCCAGGCAGCTCTGTATGCTGCCCTGTCTGCAGGCATTGCCCCCGCAGCTCCCATTGGCTGCGCTTCCTGGCCAATGGGAGCTGCAGGGGCGGCAATTGGGGCAGGGGCAGTGTGCAGAGTGGAGCCCCCTGGCTGCCACTACGTGTAGAAGCTGCAGGAGGGCCATGCCGCTGCTTCTGGGAGCCATGTGGAGCAGCACCGAACACTACTCCCCAGCGAGAGCTCCAGAGGGGGACAAGCCCCAGCAGCTGCTCCCCAGCAGGCCAGATCCGGCCCATGGGCGGTCGTTTGTCCAGCCCTGGGATAAACTCTGCAAGGTTTGGACAGAGGCTGCTGTGTCCCTGTGGAGCGTGAGGGTGATGGGGGAAGGAGGGAATCCCTCAGACTCTCCCCGTCGCTCACAAATAAAACAGAAGCTAAAACACCACATTTCACTGTCCCTGCTCCCACTTTTGTAGTATCTGTTTAATTCTGGCCCATAAGGGAAAAAATGTATAAACACTAAATGCTTTTCAGCAGGGCCTGGAGTAATGATAGACTATCTAGGAATGAGAGAACCTACCCCAGGCACAGGTGCCAGAATGAGGGATGCTGCCGCATCCCCTGGCTTGAAGTGGTTTCCATCATATCCAGGGTTTACAGTTTGGTTCAATGGCTCTCATCACCCCACTGGACAGATTGGTCCAGCATCCCCAGAGGGGGAACTCAGTGACTCTAGCAATCACTCTGCTAATGGTGGGGTCCGAAGGAATTAGATGCTCAGGCTCAGTCTAGGGTAGGATGAGTGGGGGCGGGTCAGAGGAGATGAGCTGGCTGATGCTGACCACGTTTCCTACCGTAGACAGGCTCTCGGAGGCTGATGCTGCGGAGGCAGAGGTGGGATCTCCAGGCCTCCCACGAAAGGCCCTGTGGCAGTGGTTCTCAACCTGCGGCCCGATCAGCACACAGCTGCAGCCCACATGACATCCTCAGGGCCATACAGGTAGTATTGGATGCGGTCCACATAATGCATTATGGGCCACATATGCAGCCTACAATGGTAAATAGGTTGAGAACCCGCCGCAGTCTGTGGGAATCAGCCTCTCTCAGTGGTGCTGTCTGAATGCAGCGGGGGCAGGGAGAAGGGGCAGAGGGGGTGAGTGAGGAGAGGCAGCACCTCTCTACCCCATGCTCTCCCTCACCTCTTATCCCATCATCCCCAAACACTCAGCAGCCCAGCACCCAGCTCCCCCTGCTTCCCAGCGCCACCAGCCTCAACCATTCAATCCGCAGTGTCCTCCCCATAACCCATCGGCCTGGTCCCTTAACGGTTGATCCCAGAGAGTCCAGCGCTCTGGGGGATTCGGGGAGGGGAGGAGTTAAGGAACAGCTCCAGGTAAGTGGGGGAGCCCAGTGCAAAGGCTGGTGGAAGATGGGAGATGGGGACAGGTGTGTAGAGTGAAGGTGGGGCCTGGCCCAAGTGTCCTTCTCCTCAACTCCATGGCAGGGGGATGGGCAGCTGGATCCTTGGGAGCCAAATATTCCTGATGTGTGTGGGAATGAGGAAATGGGTTTGTCACCATGGCCAGCCCCAGTCAGGGCCCTGACAGAATTTCCCTGCTGCGTGGAGGAGTCTCTGATGTCCAACCCGGCGTTAGCTCTGCTTGAAGTTGAGTGGAGCGGACAATGCTTGATTCTGTGGGAGCACCAGCTGAAGATTCCCCCACATTCAAGTTCTCCCTCTTCTGTGGATTGCTGATGGGTAATAATGTGTGAGCTCGGATTGAATCTTTTCCTGCATCTGAGGTATTTCTAGAGTCTCTCCCTCTTGTGTGAATTCTCCGGTGTTTAGTAAGATTTGAACTGTTATTGAAGCTTTTCCCGCAGTCCACGCATTTATGGGGCTTCTCTCCAGTGTGAATTATCTGATGTGTAATAAGGGCTGATCTGCGACTAAAAGTTTTCCCGCAGTCCACGCATGTATGGGGTTTCTCTCCCGTGTGGATTCTCTGATGTGTAACAAGGGCTGATCTCACTTTGAAACTTTTCCCACAGTCAAGGCACTCATGGGGTCTCTCTCCCGAGTGGGATCTCTGATGTGTAACAAGGTTTGACCTCTGAATGAAACATTTCCCACACTCAAGACATTTATAGGGTTTCTCTCCCGTGTGCATTCTGCCATGTATAATAAGAGATGATCTCTGACTAAAGCTTTTCCCACACTCAAGACATATGTAGGGTTTCTCTCCCGAGTGCATTCTCCCATGTTTAATAAGGGATGAACTCTGACTGAAGCTCTTCCCACAGTCCAAACATTTATGGGATTTCTTTCCTGTGTGGATTGCCTGATGCGTAATAAGGGTTGATCTCACAGTGAAACTTTTCCCGCAATTGAGACATTTAAAGGGTTTCTCTCCTGTATGCATTCTCTGATGTGTAATAAGGGCTGGTCTCTGACTAAAACTTTTCCCGCAGTCCAAGCACTTATGGGGTTTCTCTCCTGTATGGATTCTCTGATGTGTAATCAGGGCTGATCTCACAGTAAAACTTTTTTCACAGTACAGGCACTTGTAGGGTCTCTCTCCCGTGTGCGTTCTCTGATGCGTAATAAGGTTTATGTTCTGATTGAAACATTTCCCACACTCAAGACATTTATACGGCCGCTCTCCTGTGTGGATTTTCACATGTTTCATAAGGGATGATCTCTGACTGAAGCTTTTCCCACATTCCCAGCATTTATGGGGTTTCTCTCCTGTGTGGGTTCTCCGATGGGTAAGAAGGTTCGATTTCCGATTGAAGCTTTTCCCACAGTCGAGGCACTGATACATTCTCTCTCCTGTGTGGATTCTCCGATGTTTAGTGAGGTTTGAGCTGTCACGGAAACTTTTCCCACAATCCAAACATTTATGAAGTTTCTTTCCTGCATGGATTGTGTGATGCATGATAAGGGCTGATTTCACACTGAAACTTTTCCCACATTTGAGACATTTATACATTTTATCCGCCATATGGATTCTCTGATGTGTAATAAGGGCTGATCTCTGACTAAAACTTTTCCCACAGTCCAAGCACTTATGGGGTTTCTCTCCCGTATGGATTCTCTGATGTGTAACCAGGGCTGATCTCTGACTAAACCTTTTGCCACATTTCAAGCATTTATGAGGTTTCTCCCCTGTATGAATTCTCTGATGTGTAGTCAGGTTTGAGATCTGATTGAAACATTTCCCACACTCAAAGCATTTATAAGGCCTCTCTCCTGTGTGCTTTCTCCCATGTATAATAAGGGATGATTTCTGGCTGAAGCTTTTCCCACAGTCCAAGCACTTATGGGGTTTTTCACCTGTGTGGATTCTCTGATGAGTGATAAGGTTTGATTTCTGATTGAAGCTTTTCCCACAGCTGAGACATTTATAGCGTTTTTCTTCCTTGGGATTTGTCTGTGGGTCTGTGGTTTTCTTGGGGTCCTTGCATCCTACCCCACATTCAATGGATTGTTTCTCTTTCTTTATTGGGTGGTTTCCCAGCTGCCTCTCTGACCTCTGCTGACTTCTCCAAGCTTTGCCCTGGTCCAAGGACTGGGAAAAATTCCCTTTGGCTCTTCTCCAAAAGTTCCCCTGCAGTTCCACTTGATCAGGATCTTCCTGCTGTGAATTCTTCTCCTTGTTCTCACTCATCATAGCCTCATCAACTGCTGGGAGAGAGAGAGAATCCAGACAAAAATAATTCCCTGTGATGGGAAGAAAGGACAGAACAGGGAACAGCACAGAGGGGAAAACACAACATGGTAACTGTTGGGGAGACTGAGGGCTGGTCTACAGTACACAGTTAGGTCGATGTACGGCAGCTTACATCGACCTAATTATGTCAGCGTACACACTAGAGCCTTGTCCTGCCAGTGGAAGTGCCCTACTACACCCACATAACAACTCCACCTCCAGGAGAGGTGTAGGGCTTAGGTCGGTGTAGCGAGGGAGACGCATTGTCTGTGTAGACACTGCATTCCTTACATGGGCTGTTGGCTGTCTTGTCAATTTGACGGCTCTGCTGGAGCTTTGAAATGGACAAGAAAGCCAGACTCCTAGCTCCACAGCTGGGCTGCTGCCAGCTCTCTGCTCCAAGCCGGGCTACCACCTAGGCTTCTGCCTTGGGCTACCGCCCATGCTCTCCACTCCCAACTAAAAGCCCTGCTGCCCCACCAGTCCAGGTGCCATGTTCCCTGCTGGCAGCCTGGCTGCCCTCCTCACTCTCGGCTCCCCACCGAGAGCACAGCAGCCAACTGGACTCCGGGCACAGATCTCCCCACTGGAGGCGAGAAGCCCCAGGCAGCTTCCCCCGGCTCATGGCTCTCAGCTCCCCAAGCTGCCCCTCTTCAGACAGTGGAAGCACTCTGGTGAAGACGCAAACCACCGACAGAAGGAGGGGAGCACGTGGACATCAGCCACAGCAGTAATTACTGTGGTGGCTGTAAGTTGACCTAACATAGGTCGACTTAAGATTGTAGTGTAGATATGCCTTCAGAAATTGGACTCTGCCTCCATATCCCCATACTCCCAGGGAAGTAAAGTCGGGGATGAATCTCCTTACAGTTAATGTAGGGTCTGATGCCTTTTTCTGCAGCCCCATTAGGACAGCAGGAGCCATGAGCCAAGAAGCAGAAAGTCACATTCCCTCTAAATTATATCAAAACAATGAAATATTGGGCTGCTAAGAAGTAGATCCTGTCCTAATAGCACCCACCACCACCAGATAAAGAAACAGATCTTAAGATGTTTACAGAAAACTTAGTTTGACAGCATTCTGTCTGGCAAGGAATCACTTATCAACAGTTGTGATTGTGAAATCCGTACTTCTTTACTGTTTGTCTTTATGGTCCCTGCTTTGCTATTGTTTATCTATATGGTCTCTGTCTGGTTCTTTGCTTGTTTCTGTCTGATAGTAGTGCGGCAGCTGCCCCACTCCTGGAGAACAGGGGTTAAAAGCAGCCAAGCTAGGCTGATTGGGGAAGCAGCTACAGCTGGGGCCATGCCAATCAGGGCCCAGCTTGCCCTGATAAAAGGGCTGTGGGGCCAAGAGCCAGAGGAGTCTCTCTTTAGCTGTGGAGAGAGAAGGACCTGGCTGCCTGAGAGCAAAGCAGAGCAGGACCGGACCTGGCTGCCTGAGAGCAGCTCAGCTCAGCTCAAGCCTGGCAAATCCCCAGGCTGAGGCCTTGCTAAAGGCCAAAGCAGGTACTGGGGCTACAGAGGTGCAGCCTGGGAATAGCCCAAGATCAGAGCTGCCAGACCTCAACCCCCTGCTGACTCTATCATGCAGAAGCTGGAGTCCCCAGGCAAACCAATCCTGACTGGCCACCAGGAAAAGCTCATCTGCCTTATTGGGAGTGGTGAGCATTGTATGCGTACTGTGTGTATTCTGTCTTGGTAACCGTGTAAATAAATAGAGGTTAAGGATATTACTGTGTAAGGCTCTTTCACTGGTAAAAGGTCCTGTAAGCACACAGAAGATTACGCCCTGACCCCTAGGAACAGGGCAGGGGGCCTAAATGAATTGCGCTATGCCTTGAGTCCTAGGAACAGGGTAAAGGTGAGGGCCATAGAGTGTGCGGGTAACACTAAAGGATGGTTGGGAAGCCATAGGTGATGTCCACCATGATGAAACGATACCAGAGGGCTACAGCCTGACGAGGTGGGGTGAAACACAACCCGGGGAGCTTGCTAATAGCACAGCTTTGGGTGTCCCAGCTTTTTCATTCACTCGCCAGATGGTTTCTGTTTCAGTGTCACTGATTCCTCACCTGTGCGGGTGCCTCTGTGGACCTCCCATTCCGCGGAGCCCTGGAGATCAGGGACCCACGGCTCTTCCCCTCTTTCCAGCTGGGTGATCAGCTCCGGTTTGGGAACAGGAAATCCTGCTGGGAAGGGGAATCAGGAAGATGAGCGTGTATCTCAAGTATTGACAGTATTTGTCACAAAGAACATTCCCTGAGTTCAACCTGCCCCATGCTGAGCTGGGGGATTGTGGAATCCCAAAGGACGGGAACATGGTCACTCTAACTATGCGGATGTGGAATCTGAACAAATGTAGACAAGGCCACTGGGCCCCCCCAGGAGAGGCAAATGTCTGTGGGGGGAAGAGCTGTCACAGCATCGCTGGGGGTTTCCAGGATCTGTGCACTCTGTGGGACTTGCTGATGTAGACACAAACCCCTGCCTAGTTCTAAACCTCCAGAACCCTCCCCATGGCTGGAGCTAGTCCCAGGAATGGAGGATCACAGGGACGGAGAGTGTAAAGAGACACCAGGAGGGTGATGTAATGTCTTTTCTTGGGTCTTTTTCTTGAAAGCATGTGTCTTTCACTAACCAAAGTTGGTCCAGTCAAAGGTAGTGCCTCCCCGACCTTGTGTCTGTCCATCCTGGGACTAACGGGGCTACACCAACACTATAAATTAGTGAGAAATAATACAGACAGGGCCATACGCTGCTTCTGCTCCTTTGAAAGCTGGAGGGATGGGGATGAATCAGCAGGTTTATGATTCCCTGATTCCATTGGAGGGGGTATGGCAGTTGTAGTCAACAGGCAGACTGTGGGCTAAATCTGGACTGCTGGACATTTTTGAATGGACCCCAAAATATTTGAATTTACTTATATTTATTTTCTTGAGTCTGGATCTTGACTATACTTTGACCAAGAAATATGCATGTGTAGACTCTGGGGTACATTCCCTGATCAGTTAGATTAGAGGGGAAGAACTGAACAGATTCAGACATGCAGACCCCACGGCTTTTAATGGTTGAGGGGACAGGAATCCCTTACCCAGTGAGATCACCATCTCGTAGTTCTCCTGCATGACGTCCCTGTAGAGGGCTCTCTGACCAGGGTCCAGCAGAGCCCCCTGCCCCTCGGTGAAATACACAGCCACCTCCTCGAAGGTCACCGGCATCTGAAACAAGAGTTCCCCATTCAGCACCTGCTGCCCCAGCCGCAATCCCACTAGTCATGGGGGAGGAGGCCCAGAAAAGCAGATTCCCACCCCCACCCTGCTCAGAGCAGCCAGGAGGCTTCAGGGAATGGGAGAAGGTGAGAGCTCCTTGTCCCCCCCCAGCAGACTGAGCAGGGCAGGGTCTTCTCATTTCCCACACGCCTGCTAGCCAGAGGCAGATACAGGAAGCAGAGCTCTGAGCCGGGGACAGGGTCAGGAATCCCGACAGCTTCCCTTCATATTTCACAGCAGCCTCTGGCCAGCTCCATCACTGGGAGTCTGGTCAGTTTTCCCAGCCCTGCCCAGGGGGGTGTTTCCTGGTTCAGAAATGGGGGAATGCTCCCCCCTGACCATGGGCCTGTTCAGAGAATCAGGCCTAGGTTGAACATTTCCCAGCAGGTTTATCACACCCTCGCCCCCCGCCTCACCCTGTGTCTTTCCTGCCCCTCCCCTTCTACAGCAACCCCCCCTTGCAGCTCTCTGAAAATCCCCTACCTGAGCTGGCTCCATCACAGCCATTTCCCTTCCCTGTCCCCTGGAAGACGGGACGATCTGGAGCAAAACGTGGACGTGATTCCTCAGCCTGTCGGGGCGATGGGGGAAGGTTTCAGGAGGGGCTTGAGTCCATTTCAGACTTTGATTGCCTCCGCAGGCTCTCTTCCTGCAGACAGATGCTCTAAACCAGGGGTTCTCAAAATGGGGGTTGGGACCCCTCATGGGGTCACCAGGTTATTACATGGGGGGTTGTGAGCTGTCAGCCTCCACCCCAAACTCTACTTTGCTTCAAGCATTTATAATGGTGTTAAATATACAAAAAAGTGTTTTTAATTTATAAGGGAGGGTTGCACTCAGAGGCTTGCTATGTGGAAGGGGTCACCAGTAAAAAAAGTTGAGAGCCACTGCTCTAGACCAGGGGGTTCTCACAACAGATTGTTTGGTGGCCTTAGAGTGCAGCCACCAAATCTTGCTCGTGGCCACTCTGAAAAATTTTCCTAAAATACTTAGTTAACTTTAGGAAAAACAAACAAATATTAGGGCTGTCAATTAATTGCAGTTAACTCAAATTAATTGCAATTAAAAAAATTAATTGTGACTAATCAGTTAATTGCACTGTTAAACAATAGATTCATAGATATTTAGGTCAGAAGGGACCATTATGATCATCTAGTCTGACCTCCTGCACAACGCAGGCCACAGAATTTCACCCACCACTCCTGCAAAAAACCTCATGCCTATATCTGTGCTATTGAAGTCCTCAAATCGTAGTTTAAAGACTTCAAGGAGCAGAGAATCCTCCAGCAAGTGACCCGTGCCCCATGCTACAGAGGAAGGCGAAAAACCTCCAGGGCCTCTTCCAATCTGCCCTGAAGGAAAATTCCTTCCTGACCCCAAATATGGCGATCAGCTAAACCCTGAGCATATGGGCAAGATTCATCAGCCAGATACTACAGAAAATTCTTTCCCGGGTAACTCGGATCCCACCCCATCTAATATCCCATCACAGGCCATTGGGCCTATTTACCATGAATATTTAATTACCAAAACCATGTTATCCTATCATACCATCTCCTCCATAAACTTATCGAGTTTAATCTTAAAGCCAGATAGATCTTTTGCCCCCACTGCTTCCCTTGGAAGGCTATTCCAAAACTTTACTCCTCTGATGGTTAGAAACCTTCGTCTAATTTCTAGTCTAAACTTCCTGGTGGCCAGTTTACATCCATTTGTTCTATATATCCAATAGAATACCAATTTAAATTTATTAAATATTTTTGGATGTTTTTCTACATTTTCAACTATATTAATTACAACACAGAATACAAAGTGTACAATGCTCACTTTATATTTTTATTACAAATATTTGCACTGTAAAAATGATCAAGAAAAGTAACCGTATCTTTCAATTCACCTCATACAAGTACTGTAGTGAAATCTCTCTATCGTGAAAGTACACCTTACAAATGTAGGGTTTTTTTGTTTGTTAAATAATTGCACTCAAAAACAAAACAATGCAAAACTTTAGAGCCTACAAGTCCACTCAGTCCTACTTTTCGTTCAGCCAATCGCTAAGATAAACCAGTTTGTTTACATTTACGGGAGATAATGCTGCCCTCTTCTTATTTACAATGTCACCTGAAAGTGAGAACAGATGTTCACATGGCAGTTTTGTAGCTGGTATTGCAAGGTATTTATGTGCCAGATATGCTAAACATTTGTATGCCCCTCATGCTTCGGCCACCATTCCAGAGGACATGCTTCCATGCTGATGACGCTCATTTAAAAAAAAAAAACATACGTTAATGAAATTTGTGACTGAACTCCTTGGGGGAGAATTGTATGTATCTGACCCTATTTTATCCGCATTCTGCCATATATTCCATGTTATAGCAGTCTCAGATGATGACTCAGCACATGTTGTTCATTTTAAGAACACTTTTGCTGCAGATTTGACAAAACGCAAAGAAGGTACCAATATGAGATCTCTAAAGATAGCTACAGCACTCGACCCAAGGTTTAAGAATCTGAAGTGCCTTCCAAAATCTGAGAGGGATGAGGTGTGGCGCATGTTTTCATAAATCTTAAAAGAGCAACACTCCCACGTGGAAACTACACAACCCGAACCACCAAAAAAGGAAATCAGCCTTCTGCTGGTGGCATCTGACTCAGATGATGAAAAAGAACGTGCATCTGTCAGCACTGCTTTCTATTGTTATGGAGCAGAATCCGTCATCAGCATTGACACATGTCTTCTGGAATGATGGTTGAAGCACGAAGGGACATATGAATCTTTAGTGCATCTGGCATGTAAATATCTTGTGATGCCGGCTACACCAGTGCCATGTGAACACCTGTTCTCACTGTCAGGTGACATTGTAAACAAGAACTGGGCAGTATTATCTCCTGCAGATCTAAACAAACTTGTTCGAGTGATTGGCTGAACAAGAAGTAGGACTGAGTGGACTTGTAGGCTCTAAAGTTTTACATTGTTTTGTTTTTGAATGCATTTTTTTGGTACTTAATTCTACATTTGTAAGTTCAACTTTCATGATAAAGAGATTGCTGTACAGTACTTGTACTAGATCTGAAAAATACTATTTCTTTTGTATTTTACAGTGCAAATATTTGTAATAAAAATAAATATAGAGCACTGTACGCTTTGTATTGTTGTAATTGAAATTACTATATTTGAAAATGTAGAAAATATCCAAAAATATTTAAATAAATGGTATTCTAGTTTTGTTTAACAGTGCAATTAATTGCAAATTTTTTTAATAACTTGACAGCCCTAATAAATATGCACCTATCCCTGTCCAAATCCTTGTAATTTATTTATGTAGGGTTCTTCTCCACCCCTCCGCCCTGCCCCACATTAACTAGAAAAAATAATCATAGGACTGGAAGGGACCCTGAGAGGTCATCTAGTCCAGTCCCCTGCCCTCATGACAGGACTGAGTATTATCTAGAACATCCCTGATAGGTGTTTGTCTAACCTGCTCTTAAAAGTCTCCAATGATGGAGATTCCACAACCTCCCTAGGCAATTTATTCCAGGGCTTCACCACCCTGACAGTTAGGAAGTTTTTCCTAATGTCCAACCTAAACCTCCCTTGCTGCAATTTAAACCCATTGCTTCTTGTCAGTTAAGAACAACAATTTTTCTCCCTCCTCTTTCTAATCAACTTTTATATACTTGAAAACTGTTATGTCCCCTCTCAGTCTTCTCATTTCCAGACTAAACAAACCCAATTTTTTCAATCTTCCCTCACAGGTCATATTTTCTACACCTTTAGTAATTTTTGTTGTTCTTCTCTGGACTTTCTCCAATATGTCCACATCTTTCCTGAAATGTGGCACCCAGAACTGGACACAATACTCCAGTTGAGACTTAATCAGTGCAGAATAGAGTGGAAGAATAACTTCTTGTGTCTTGCTAACATACAGTTAACTGTATTTTGGTGCTCCTGGCCCTCGCTGCCTCCCCGGGCGTGCCCCCCAACCCCATACCCTCTGGCCTCTACTGCCTCCCTCTGCCCCACACGGATCTCCCCTGACCACCACTGCCTCTCCCAGCCCTCCACTGCCCCCTGGGCTCCCCATCACCCCCTGGGCCCCACTGCTTCCCCCCAAATTCCCTTCTGCAGCCTCTCACCCTGCTGCTTGCCTCTTGACCACGGCTGCCAGTAAGGTCGGCCCTGATGAAGCCACACCACCCTGAGCTGAAGCCCAGAGCCAGAGCCCCCTGGCTGGAACTGGGGGGTGTGGGGCGGCTGAAGCCCAGAGCCCCACAGCTGAAGCTGGGGTAGAGGGCCTGGAGCCAGAGCCCCAAGGCTGAATGGGGTGAGGGGGATTAAGTCCTCCCCTGGAGCCCCACAGCTGAAGCTGGGGACGGGGACTGAAGCCCTCCCCTGGATCCGTTGGGCACTGCTTTGCCCCCTCCCCCCTCTTTGCCCAGGAGGCTGTTGTGGCCGCATTGAGAAACGACTGCTCTAGACTCTGCCAGGCTGGGGAATACCCTCAGGCTACGTCCACACTACCAGGGCTACAGCGGCACAGCTACTGTGCGGCAGGAACACGGCTACAGCCCCGTAGCGTGGACGCTCCTACAGCAGCGGCAGAGGTTTGTCCATCAGATAATCCACCTCTCCAATCCGCAGTAGCTCATTCGGGGGAAGAATTCTCCCGTCTGTCAAGCTGCGTCCACAATGGGGCTCAGGTCGACTTAACTATGGCGCTCGGGGCTCAAAACTTTGCCTTGCCCTGAGTGAAGCAGTAGATGGATCTGATTGTTCACTGTAGCCCAGGCCTTACAACACAGACCCGGCCCCTCCCAGCAGGCTCCACCCACTAACACTTCTAAACACCCCCAGCATCAGAGCTGGGCACAGTTCATGGCAACTGCTCCTGTATTTCTGCTCAGTGGTCCAGCCAGGGCACCCACTGGGCCCCGCCCCAGCGATCGCCTCTCATGCGTGGAGACCAAGTCTTCCCTAGGCCATGTCTACACGAGCACTTATGCAGGCAAAACTTCTGTCGCTCAGGGGGGTGAAGAAAGCTCTCCCCCCGACACAGCGACTGCCGCTCACTGAGCTGGTTTTATTGTGTAGACGGGAGAGCTCTCTCCTGTCGGCGTAACGTGACCACACGAGCGGTCTCAGAGCGGCATACCGGTGCAGCTCCCAGTTTGTAAGTGCAGACGTGGCCCAAGGAAATCCATCGCACTCGTACTGTTCCCAAAAGGCCTTTGAAATCCCTAATATCTCCCAGAGATGGCATCAGTCCTGTCTTCCCCCCAAAGGACACCCATACAACCACACAGCAGCCCACAAGCAGTAGCATTGTCAAGACAAGGGACTCCCAAAATGCTTACACTTAATTCAATACGGATTAGAATCACAGACCCATAGGGTCAGAGGAACCACAAGGATCATCTACTCTAACCCCTGCCAAGATGCAGGATTTGTTGTGTCTAAGCCACCCAAGGCAGAGGGCTATCCAGCCTCCTTTGGAAATCCTCCAGTGAAGGAGCTTCCACGACCCCCCGAGGCATCTGTTCCATTGTCCTCCTGAGATTTTTCCCAAGATT